AAATGGACACTAGCTTCAGGTCACTGCTTTCACACAACGTCAAAAAGCAGTACTTCTTCAACAAGGTGCACACTACTCCAAGAATAGGCCTGGCAACGAACTGAACCGTGCACCGCGGTGGTGGCACACAAATTCTGGGGATCACCAGCAATGACGTTAGCAGTGTCAGTTTAGCAAAGTGTCTATGAAAATGGACACTAGCTTGTGGTCGCACTATCCTGCTCTCATATGTTGTCATCCTCAGCTCAAGTGGCTTTTGTTGGACCGAAAGCATTATTGTGCCAATGCAGATGAGACTCACACCTAAAGAAAGAAGCATCGAAAGGTACCACGCTTCGAGATCTGCAACCTTGGTTGATCAACCGCGACAACAGGGTCAAACCGATTCTGTTTCAACCTACAATTGGTGCAAGCTAAATCTACACACCCAAAAATTGATAGTACGGAATGGTGGCCCGGGAAATGTGCGTGTTTTGTTGGTCTTGTGCGCAACAAACACACTTGCTTAGATTTGTTTACAAGTTATATATATATATATGTACGAGGTCTGTTGTTCGGTACCTGCCTCGTATTCCGGAACCCTGTTCAAGCGTATCTGGCGTAGTCTAAGAATACTCCAAGTGAGCACCTGCCTCCTTTTCTGCTCATGTCCCAAGCTTCTGCAGCAAACTGGTTGATGTTCCCATTTCTTCTTAGGGCAAACTGCTAGATGTTGTTTTGCTGCTAGTTTATTTACCCGGGCTTTGTCCACTGGCATTCGCTATTCTTCAAACCAGGACACTAAGACTCCGAACTTGCCTTGCAGAAATTCCAGCTTGTAAAGCAAAGGAGGAAAAATTCGCATCGCTGAAGTGGTCTGCTGCTTTCCTGGAAGGCCTAGGCTCTACAGCGTGGACTGCATGGACATGCATTGCGTTCTCCAGGATGGGAGAACAAAATTAAGAAGAAGAAAGGGCCTCTTTCACAAAGCCCCTTTAAAGGGTGTCTTATTACAGAAGCACTTCATCTTTGTTCTTTCCGTTTCCAGTTTCAGCTGCCATTTTGGTTTAAACTCACATGGCAGTCTTGAATTGGGTCGCTGCGCTTGAAGCCAATTTCCCCGTTTCAGGTAAGGTGTGATCATGCAACATGATTTTTTCGTTTGTCTTTCTTCTTTGTAGCCTGGGTGGTCGGCCGTAGTAAGCTTAAGTAGGAAGTAAGGGGTATTGTAACTATTAAGCTTAAGTAGCTTCTCAGGCTTGGATACCAAAGGGCTCGGGCTTACTGATTTCGTTCCTAGATGTTTGGAAATAAAGGTTGACAACAACAGGGAAGCATGAATTCGCTGTGTCTAACCTTTTCGCATCAAAGGCATTGTGAGTGGATCAAGTGGATTCCCTCGATTGAAGACAGCCAAAAGACTCTGATGTTTCCAAGATGCGCAACTCTTTCAGGAAGGGATCTCCACTTGCTGGCCCTGGCTGGCTATAGGTCTGGTTCAGTTGTCCTCAGATTGGGTTGAGTTGGGCTCGGCCTGGTGGGCGGTGAAGCTGACAGGGCTGGGGTGATACACAGAGTGCCTCAATGCTCTTAGCCCAATCATGCTGAGTGGAGTTGAAAACAAAGGCCCTATCAATGATATAGAAGCACCGAATCTCATTCCATGTATGTATATACATTCCAGAAAAAGAAACACACAAAAATGACTATTCGATAATAGTCAAAAGATGTCAAAAGCATCTTGGAGCACCATGGTTTTCAAGTAGCCCGGTAAGGAGGGGGGTAGGCTGCAAAAGTAGGCTGCTAGTAGCTGGGATGCAGGAAAGCTTAGGCTTCCTTCAGGCGGGAGGAGCTTCCTTGAAGAAGCCCTCGCGCTATGATTTGGTTTGGGGAAACTTACACCGAGGTATTGATGTATTGCCAGGGGGCGAAGCCACATCTCGGCATTGTCGGCCATGATCTCACACAGCTCACCTTAGAAGGTGATACCTTTCTGACATGTAATTTTTTTAGAAACTGTTGACAGAATTCTCCTGGTGACGCGCAAGAGCGGAACGTGAAACAGCTGGTTCAGCGCTCAAAAAGGCAGTTCACCTGAACGGTGTTCTATCAGAAGAAGCATGAATAAACATCGACAGTATAAGTAATACGAATATGTAAACAAAAAAGTATTTATATACCAAAGTCGCTGAAAAGTAACAAAACTTAACGATAAATGATATCATATGATATTCTATCATCCTTTTCCTGTTGTTCTGTGTTCAATGGATTGACACTGCATGGGTAGGCAAAGTCGCAACCGTAGGTGAGGAAGATGGGCTCTGGGCCCTCCTGCTGAGTTGACAGAGGTCCATTTGTCAGTCGAGCGGCCAAAGCACAAAAAGAGCCTGACTCATAATTCATTTAGGCTCTAAATGGCTCCCAGCATAAGACCTAAGGCTATTTCGGAAGATTGTCGCTTTACGGTCTTGTTAGAAACTAACTGGTGCTCTTATCAAGTCACTGTGCAAAACCCCCTGGAGCATGTCTGTCTATTCATGCTGGCGGAATTCCCAAGCTTGTGTTGCAAGAACAAGACAGGCATGGCAAGGATTTTACACAGCAACAGCCGGCATGGATCGGCATGGCAAGAGTTGGCATCTCCTCATCTTCGGATCCGGCTGCTCGGGTCGCTGGAGCCACCAGGGGCGTTTCTTGCAACAAAGAAGCTGTGGCAGCCTGAGATCAGGCAAGTCTGTGAACAATGAAAAGAATCTCGTTATAGATGCTATAGAATGTATTGGAATGTTATAGAAGCAACTCCAAACACATTCCATCACACATTAATTGCAAAAAATGAATTGTGTTGTTGCCAACCCAAAACAATCAGGTTGGTGTAAACCACGGAACCCCCCTTGCATACAAGCAACAATACCACAGGCAAGGCTGAAACACACCAAACCAAAATGAAGTAAGACCCAAGCCATTTCATCCAGAAACCACACACAACGCATCCAAACAAAACCAGCACAGAATTATAGTTATGTAAGGAAGATCGAGACACACCAAGCAAGCCTACAGGATGAAGCTGCAAGCTCGAACAATCGCGTCCTCTTTGACTACCACACACAAATCCCTTTGCAGCAGATTGTGTGGCTGCAGGCAGCGCATTGGTACGCATCAATCGCAATCATTCGCAATCCCTTTCTTCCTGCAGTTTGTCATATTATTGTCTTCACTTGGGCAACATGCTGCTCGATGTACATCTCCTGGCCCACCGATTGGGTGCTGCGCAAGGATTGTCCCTCGTCGTGCAGTGAGTCCAGGACTCAAAGGGCGCGCGCCGTTTTTCCACACTGAATGGGTGGACGACCTTCGTCGAGCTTCATCAAAGATTGACAACATTCAGTCTGCATCCGGCAAGATGTCATCAAGGCCTGCAGAGAGCACCTCGATTCCCTTCTGCCCAAAATGTCTGTTGTAGGCTAGCTGCAAATTCCTTTCAAAAAAATCGTCACATTAAGTGAGTCAGCTGTTCTGATTGCTGGCTTATCAACCTCAAAACAACAAGCAAAGGCAAAGAACAGAAATAGAAACAAACTTACCGGACTTTCTAGCCGCGCTTCGGCACAGGTCCATCTTGCCTACTAAAAAGCGTTGGAAGTCCAAGAAGAGCCCTGAGCTCAGCACTTTCCACAAGTGCCTTTAAGTCAGTTTGCGCACAACCAACCTCAACAGCCTCGACAGCCCGGCCATGTCTTTTCAACGAGCCACAGCTGGTAAAGTTGCCAGAAAGCTTGGCAGGAAGCGCTTGTTCCGGAGGGGCAACAATGGCTCCTACAAAAGGAGTCGACACAGTCGACGAAGAAAGTGCTCGATCAATTTGCAAAGGGCACGACAGCCAATCCGTTTTGTTACGGGCTGAGGCAATACTTACAGTAAGGACGGTCTCGCATATCAAGTAAGAGTGTCATCGCTCCTAGGCCAGCAACACACTTGTCAAATCACATGAGGGGCGTATACTACCTGAAAATACCTGAAAGGGTTTACATTGTTGTCAAGCATCCAGTGCATCAGCAAAATGAAACATTCAACAATATGTTTATGACCCTCCTCTTCGATGCCAGAAACTAGCGTCGACGGCGTAGAGATGTATGCTGCAGCAACTAGATGGCGCACATCCTGGAGGCGTGAGTGGCTTCTAGGAGCAGGAACGAGCAGGAATCGGGCTTGGAGGTTGTCTTTCCTTCGGATTCTGCAGAATAGAATACAAGAAATGCAAATAGGAAAGCAGTAGATCATACTAGCAGCTAGCAATTATTAGCAAGTTGGCGCCAGATGGCGCCAGTACTGTACAAGCAAGCGGACACCTTGATCACACACGGCGAAAGTCCAGTTAAAGAGTGGCAAACAGGAACTGAAGAAGGTCAAAAAATCAGATGAAGCAATTCAATAGAGGTTTGGATCCGACTTTATAGCTTTCATCAGCTTCCCAACTCTTGCCACGGCCAGCCCGCCTTGATGAGAACTTCTTTGCATCGGAGACCCTTTCGCGCTTCTTGAGCTGCCAAGGCTAGGCCTTGCTTCCATCAGTCGTTCAAAGTAGTTTCCTGGTTCCTTGCTTCCATCAGTCGTTCAAAGTAGTTTCCTGGTTCCTTATATGTTTAAACTCTAAACTAGACATCTAGGCTTTTCTTTTCCTTCTTCCTTTGTCGTTTCTCTTTTCTATTTCGGTTCAAAGGACAAACGAAAGCCATACCAACATGCTCTCCGAAAGAAGCTGCCAAAACGATCCAAAAGAATAGAAACACACACTGTGGTTAAAGCCATGTTTATGCAACATGCATAACATGCATGTCTAGTCTATTTATTCATAAGTAATTATTCCATCTGATGGAGTCTTTGTATGTGATGTTGACTTTGTTGTCTTGGACTTCACCAAAAAAACAGCAAAGTAGATTGGATATCATTGGATACAGTATTATATAGCTGGAAAATGATGGTAATGTCTCTGGGAGTTCCGTCGTTTGACTTGGAAAATGAAGAAACATACTCTGCACACGACAGCAACATTCTCCCGCAGACCCACATAGCAATGCCACATCCTGCAAGTGGGAGCAAATGACAGCAAACCCTTACATAAAAGTCTGCAACACAATTGCTACTTCATTCTGTTTAGCTTGGACTGGAACTAGGAAGCACCTGGCCTCACACCTAGAAACCTCAATCCCAAAGAGGTCCTCAGCCTGTCCATTCAAGCCCAGGTGACAGCGTGTTGTGCCAACCACTAGCGGCAGAATAAGAATCCATCCAATAGTCATTACACATTGTCATCGACAACGGCGCTTCACTAAACGGAGGCTTTGCCCCAGGAACGCCTTCAGGGTTGGATGCAATAACGAGAGTTCTTGTTACTTGTTTGGATGGCTGTCAAGTTTGCCACGAAGTCTTATAAACCCTACAGTTGTATCAGATTATCATCAAACGGGTCAGTCTTGTCTGGATGCAGTATGAATCTTGCATATGGCTGTCTTCTGTCTGCAACTGGTGGGAATGACCGAGCGCTATTTATTTGGATACGATGCTGCAGGGGTTAGGCTGCCTGTGAAAGTAGAGCCAGCAAGAATGCTTACATTGAGCTCAGATGTCTGTTGAACAAATTGCGAAGATGATGACCACAACCTGGAACTCTCATGTCAGGCACCGTGTACAAGCTGCAACTGCGCAAGAATTCTTGAATCATAATCATGAATGTTGTATCCAAGGTCATTCCAGCTGCCCCTCGCTCCTTGCAACAATAGCCTCTTGGACATTTTGAATATGTAGGAACTAGTAACTAGAGCATGCTCTCCATAGCTGTTGGTTGTTCGCTGGGCTCATAATTTTCAGGATTGAAGAAGGAGGCTTGGCATACTGATGCCGAAGGCTTTCACAAATGTCACAGTCACAATCCTTGTTGAAAGGGCCGCTGCAGTACCATATCATGCACCGAAAGGCTAACAGTACAGTCGTTTCAAGACCAACAAGCCACAGTCCCATTTGCATCCATTTGCCCAAATTCGGTTTCAGCAACAAGCCCTCAAGTCCTTTTCAAGCCCCAAATTGTGCAACACACAAAGAATAGCAGCTTCAGTTCAGACCGTTAAGATCGCCCGGAAGGCCGCCCTCCCCACTGGCCATGACATACAAGTCCTCCAACCTGCATGTTGCACAAAATTTCCGTGTGCTGCAAGGAACAAGCAACTGACCGACCTCAGAAGTGGCAAGAACTTATATTTATAATCTTATATGTAGTGCTCATGAAGCTCTCCACGCCCTTATTTTCAAAAGCTGTGCTTTGAAGAAATTGGATTCATAAGGTCAAGAATAATGACCTGGAAAACGGGGTCACCCAGAGTGCAAGATAGTGACCCGGGCCGACAATCCTGCCCATTGAGGCCCAGAGCACACGTCCGCACTACAGGCAAACCAGTGAAACGCTGCAAAAAGAAAGGAGGCCTTCTGGGTGCACCCCCCCACGGGTCCATACCCACAGAGCAAACTATGATGCACCCGACACCGGTGTCCACCCTGCCCTTTATTCAGCCGGGGCTGGAGCCCAAGGTAGCACGGTCAAGCCGTTCTAAATCGCAGGACAGAGTGAAAAAGGCCACGCGCTTCGCGAACACCAGGAGGGGCCAAAGAAGACGGGAAACGCTTCCGTCGCTTGGAGGAACCCTTCTATCAAGATCAGATCTTTTCACACGGGTTACGGTCAACAGTCGAAAGACATGGATGGCCGAGCTTTGCGAGCCAAACGCAACAAGCGTGCGCGCACCGAAACACTGAGCGACAGTTCAGTGAGCTGTGCTAAAGCGTCAGCCAGGTAGATTCGGGCAGTTTTTGGACAATTCCATCGTCCAACAACACAAAGGGCCGGCAAGTTATTATATAGTCAAACGAAACGTATGTGTCGCGCCACCTCGCCGAAGCGAATACCATTGGAAGCCTTCAGGCAGCTGAAGGTCATTAAAAAGCTGCTTGAGGCGGTGACGCATGCCCCCTGGGCTGATTGTACGCAAGTGATCACCCGGCGCGTGTGAACGCATGAAGTTAAACAAGGCATGTACAATCCACGAATCTTCTATTACTAAGGATTCCTGAGCTCCGTGTCGCTGGCCACTCTTTGTGAGTGGGAGAGTCCAGACGACCCTTCGCAAGGAGGAATCAAAATGGAAGTCACCGCGCTTTGCGTTAAAAAGCTCACCTGTCCGGGCAAAACGGTCAAAGCCCAGAAGCAAGAGGATCGCAATATCACTCCAATCTCTTTCAAAGGCTCGTTGCGCCAGGGCGTAAACGATCACGGGAGTAAAGGGGAGCGCTCTAGCAGGCAGTTCTGCCCGGCTCCAACTACCGTGAAGTCTCCACGCCCCAGCCAAATGCTTCTTGCATTGCGGGATGTAGTGGCCCAAGCCACTTAGACAATCAGATGCAAAAGCCTTGGAATCACCATTTTGCCATAAATATTCAATATATTCACATACTCGACCATCCAGCAAGAGGAAAGTTGAAGGCTAAGGGTAGTCGTGCAGTTGTAGGAATTCCAGGAAAAGTGAAACAGCTTCAAAATATCGAGTCAGGGTACGTGGGGCGACAACCAAACTTTGTAAACTTCCCAGCTCGCGACGCTCCTTTTTTCCTGCACGCGGCGAGCGCCGCGCCAGCACCTGTTTAGGCGCCATCGGAGCGTCTCTTGGCGGGGCCCCCCATCGACTGGGCCCATCGGCCGGGTTCCATTTGGACTTTACCCAGCCCGGGTGGAGCACGACACCCCCCGCGATCAAGATCGCGCCGATCCGACGCAAGGGGTTCTGGAGCGCGCGAGCTGAAGAACGGCCTTTGGCCAAGGCGCTTAGTGCAGTTTGGTTGTCAATCAAGATCACGTACCGCCTGTTGCGATGCTTTGAGTCTCGACAAAGCTTGCGAAGAACGTCCAACACGGCCGCGGTCTCAAGGACGTTAATGTGCTGTCCCGGTTCCTTCCATTGGTGCGAGAGAAGCACCTTCCATACCCAATGAGTCGGATCAACGCTCTGCCTGCACGCTGCTCCCACTGCCATGGGGGCGCCATCTGAGACTCGAATCTCTCCACCATGGTGTGAAGCTGCACGCGTGAGGAGGTAGCTCAGCACTTGTTCATCCGTCATCCATTGCCGTGGGTCGATCAGGCGCGCCGAGCCGGTGACCACTGGCGCGACCACAAGCTCACGCAAGGATCGAACCATGGTGCCCGACCCGGCGAGCGACCCGAAACGCACCTTCCAAGGCTGCTCATCATGTTGAGCTCTTTCTTCCATTTCATGCCAGCACTGCCACAACATGCTGGTGACATCCTGGTCAGCGACCATGTCGTCACTCGCCACCAAGCCTACAAGCAGGCGAGCCACTGCGATAGCTGAGAAACTGTTTCCGATGAGCTGACCCTTTACATCATTCGACAGCTTGACCTTGGCCTCGAGATGGTTGGAAGCGAAGCCCATCACGCGCAGCTGTTCGCTCGGAAGTGGACGTCGTGGTCCATGTTTGTCGGTGACCAAATTTTGGTATGGCTGTACTCTGTAGGCGTCGCCTTTCCATCGAGCTTTGGCCTTGTCGCTAGCCTGATCATACCCGGCCGGATCGGTGGGTGGTGATCTCCGTGCAATCGGCCTGGTGAAAGTAGCAAAAGGCTCTTCTTCTGCTTCGGCCTTCTGTGCTCCTCGTTCAAGAAACCAGACAAGCGGTGGTCTTTCAGTTTCGATCTCCACCTTGGTCACCATGTAGTCGCCTCCTCGAGGTGTATGATTCCGCTGCATCGTCAGGTCTGCGCCCAAAACTAGAGGCAAGTTCCTCCGCCAGTACAGCCGCGGCCGGCGGCATCTTCCCAGTTCACCTGCCTCCAGAAGCACTGCCGGAAATCCTATCTTTTTGGACTGGGTCTCATAGTCCGACTGATCCACGACGACGTTTTCATAGAACTCGCAAACTGTCCATGGGCGTAACCCATCGATCGTGCTCACTTCCTGCATACAGTCTCTGATCCGGATCAGTTCATCGAGCAGTCGACTGCTCTCAGCCTCCGCTCCACCCCTGTGCACATTCAGTAGCGAGTGGTTCAAGCAAGGCCACCCTCCAGCAAGAATTACTCGAGTGGCCCGCGGGAATCTCCGCCGTAGCTCCTCAAGTTCCTTCCGTTGGACTTTGTGTATGTCGTCATACCATATTGCATGCCTCACATGCTGTCGGAAGATGCGGCCGCATTCTGGCAAGGCATCAATGCCCACTACTCCTAGGGGTTGAAACCCAAGTAGTTTCAAAGCCTGGGAAAAACCACCGATCCCAGCAAAAGCTTCAATCACCACTGTAGCATCTGCACGGTTCCCTTCAATCATCGACCTCTCATGGGCCAAAGTGTTAATCCTGGCTCTTCCCCATTTTGTGATTGCAGTGGAGATGCATGCTCCTCCTCCATCTTCAGAGGCATCAGTAGCAAGCACTTGCCCTGAGATTCCGCATCGCTGATCGATCCAGTGGGTCGGCAGTGAGCATGTGAGCAATTGCTGCTTCGCTGACCCATGCTTGCTCTTCACTGTTGTACTCCTCATAGACTTTGTCAAACAGGCTTGCCAAAGGTCTTTGATACTGCACTGAATGCATGTTCTTCAACACCACTGCTTCATAGTCTCGGCTGGTAAGGCGGACCCCATCCTCCAAGATTGTATCAAGGTTTGCCGCCAAGAGTCCTCGTCTGAACTTGGTGGCACTTCCTACAAGGCCCAATGCTCCATCAACTTCTGCTCCAAGGCTGTTCCATGTAATGCTACCCTCGCTAGCTTTTCGAGGGTCTCGGGTGATTCCTCTTCGATCCATCTCCTGGCGAAGCTTCAGTTGCACATCACTTGGTTTGCCTTCGTAGAGTCCCTGCTCTGTCTTCCATACCACCAAGAGCTCATCAAAGTTGTCCACGTAGAATGAATAGTAGCTGCGAGGGCTCGTGAGCGGCTGCAAAGGCGAAGGCTCATTCATCCGAATCACTTGACTTGACTCCAAGCCAGCTGACTTTGCCACTGTTCGAAACCACTCTGGATGAAGTCCACGATGTTATTCCATCCCACTGGTGCTGATTCGCTGATCGTACACGTGGGTAACCCGCCTGCTTCTTTCCATCTCGAAAACACCACCCTGCAGCCTTTCTACTGAGTACAAAATACCCTCGCCATTTCTCCCCTGGGCGGTATAGGTGGAAGCATTGCTTTTGGTCCTCTGCGCAACAAAGGACGACCTCTGACTCATGCACATACAATTGGCCCCACAATGGAGCATAGCCCATTTGCTCTGAAGTTCGGTACGGTACTCGACGCTGGAAGGAGTTGCTTGGG